TTCATTGGGAAAAGTAGTGACTTTTTAAACAGTGAATGTTAGAAATGGTGTCTCTTTGTTGGAATGAGTGATATTTAAAGTATGTAAATGGGGTAACATATTTTAGAAGTATTCACCTTGCTCCCACGAAGAAAGTATAAGAATCTAGTGAAACATCTAGGCCAGGGGTTAGCACTCTTTCTGTAAAGTTCTGGATAATAAATCTTTTAGGTTTTGTGGGGCAACAAGCAAATCGAGTTATAGCTGCACCACAGAGATGTGTAGTGCTCCGAGCAGCAGGGGGAAACCGTGAAAGCACCATGTACCGTCTCAGCCCAACGATTCTGTCCCATGGTTTCTGCGTGATGCTTATTCCCATAATGCAAAACAGCCCTAAGCAATACACAAACAAATGAGCAAAGCTACTTGGGTTTTTATCATTGTCATGTGTCACAAAAGGATATTCGTCTTTTGATTTCTTTTCAACCATTAAAAAATGTAAAAGTTGGGACTTCCCTGGTGGTCCAGCGGATAAGACTCCACGCTCCCAATGCAGGGGACACGGGTTTGATCCCTGGTCAGGGAACTAAGATCCCACATCCCACATGCCACACGGCGCGGGCAAAAAAAAAAAAAAAAAAAAAAAAAGTAAAAGTAAAAGTTAACAACAAAAAAAAGTAAAATCATTCTAAACGTGTGGGTCATACAAAAAGAAGTGCTGGGTCAAACTTGACCGGCAGGCAGTAGTTTGCCAACCCATGTTCTAGACTAAATCCTTAGGGACAACATCCTAGGCTAAATTCCTAACTCCATGTTCTATGTCTAGCTGTGATTGCCTGGTGCCAACTAAAAAGATAACAGAATCCAGCCAATAAAATATAGTCACTGCTGCTTTCAATAAACCTTTCGTGTAGGGTGACAGCCTGTGAATCTAAAACTTTTAGAGGTCAGTTGTTCTCAACTTTTGTGGTACATTGGAATCATCTGAGGAGATAAAAACCTCCCACACCCAAAGCAATTACATCAGAAACTCTGGGGTGGGACCCAGAGATCAGTAGTCTTTAAATCTCCTCAGGTGATTTCAATGGGCAAATAAGGCTGAGAGCACTTTTCTCAAGAGGAACAAAGAACTGGGCTTCATCAAGCTGCAGAACAGGTAATATGGTTATTTCTGTTTGTTAATAAATGTTTGTTTAGTAATACTTTCATGTGTGGGAGAAATTGGTCTGAGCCTTGCTTTCATTGTATTAGGATCACGAGGCTTCTAGAGGAGTAGCTAACATACACGCAAAACTCGTCCACAGCAAAGGAAGCCATCAAAAAATGAAAAGGCGACAACCTACGGAGAAAATATTTGTAAATGATGTGACCGACAAGGGCTTAATCTTCGAAATACACAAACACCTCATACAACTCAACAACAACAAAACAAACAACCCAATCGAAAAATGGGCAGAAGACCTTAATAGACATTTCTCCAAAGACGACATACAGATGGCCAGTAGGCACATGAAAAGATGCTTAACATCACTAATTATTAGAGAAATGCAAATCAAAACTATAATGAGGTACCACCTTACACCAGTCAGAATGGCCATCATTAAAAAGTCTACAAATAACAAATCCTGGAGAGGGTGTGGAGAAAAGCGAACCCTCCTACACTGTTGGTGGGCAAGTAAGTTGGTGCAGCCACTATGGAAAACAGTATGGAAGTTCCTCAGAAAACTAAAAATAGAATTACCATATGATCCAGCAATCCCACTCCTGGGCATATATCCGGACAAAACCATAATTCAAAAAGATACATACACCACTATGTTCATAACAGCACTATTCACAATAGCCAAAACATGGAAACAACCTAAATGTCCAACAACAAATGAATGGATAAAGAAGATGTGGTACATATATGCAATGGAATACTACTCAGCCATAAAAAAGAACAAAATAATGCCGTTTGCAGCAACATGGATGCAACTAGAGATTATCACACTAAGTGAAGTAAGTCAGAAAGAGAAAGACAAACACCATATGATTTCACTTATATGTGGAATCTAAAATATGACACCTACCTACAGAACCTGTCTATAAAACAGAACCTACCTACAAAACAGAAACAGACATAGAGATCAAACTTGTGGTTGCCAAGGGAGAGTGGGGAAGGGAGAGGGATGGACTGGGAATTTGGGGTTGGTAGATGCAAACTATTTACATTTAGAATGGATAAACAACAAGGTCCTACTGTGGAGCACAGGGAACTATATCCAGTCTCTTGGGATAAACCATAATGGAAAAGGATATTTAAAAAAAGAATGTGTATGTGTGTACAACTGAGTCACTTTGCTGTACAGCAGAGATCGGCACAGCATTGTAAACCAACTATACTTCAATTAAAAAAAAATGAAAAGGCAACCTATGGGACGGGAGAAAATATTTGCAAATTATATATCTAATAAGGGGTTAATATCCAAAATTTATACTCATACAACTCAATTAAAGAAAAAAGCAGTGCAATTAAAAAATAAGCAAAAGAGGGCTTCCCTGGTGGCGCAGCGGTTGAGAGTCCGCCTGCCGATGCAGGGGACACGGGTTCATGCCCTGGTCTGGGAAGATCCCACATGCCACGGAGCAGCTAGGCCCGTGAGCCATGGCCGCTGAGCCTGCGCGTCCGGAGGCTGTGCTCCGCAACGGGAGAGACCACAATACTGAGAGGCCCGCATACTACAATAAAGAAAAAAAGCAAAAGAAATAATTAGACATTTTTCCAAGGGAGACATGCCAAGTGTCCAACAGGTACATGAAAAGATGCTCAATATCACTAATCATCAGGGTAAGGCAAATCAAAACCACAATGAGATACCACCTCACACCTGTTAGAATGGCTATTCTCAAAAAGAAAAGAGATAACGTGTTAGTGAGAATGTGGAGATAAGGGAATCCCTGTACACTGCTAATAGGCCTGTAAATTCGTGCAGCTACTATGGAAAAAAGTATGGAGCTTCCTCAAAAAATTTAAAATAGAACTACCACATGATCCAGCAGTTCTACCTCTGGGTATTTATCCAAAGGAACAAAATGACTGTCTTGAAAAGATATCTGCACCCTCATGTTTATTGCAGCATTATTTACAATAGCCAAGACATGGAAACGCAGATGCATGGATAAAGAAAATGTGGTGTATATACACAATGGAATATTATTCAACCATAAAAAGAAAGGAAATTCTGCCATTTGCAACAACATGGATGGACCTCAAGGGCATTATGCTAAGTGAAATGAGTCAGCCAGATAAAGACAAATACTGTATGATCTCACTTATATGTGAATAATTTTTTAAAAACCCAAACTCACAGATAGAGAGAACAGACTGGTGGTTGCCAGAAGTCGGAAGTAGGGGAGGAGGGTGTGAAACAGTTAAAAGTGGTCAAAAGAAACAACCTTCTAGTGATAAGGTCAATAGTCCTGGGAAGACGATGTACAGCATGGTGATTATAGGTAACAATGCTATATTGTGTATTTGAAAGTTGCTGAGAGAGTAGATCTTAAAAGTTCTATAACTATGTGTAGTATGGATGTTAACTAGACTTATTGCAGTGATCATCTCGCATGATGTACAAATATTGAATCATCATGTTTAAATACCTAAAACAAATACCATGTTATATGTCAATTCTATCTCAATTAAAAAAAAATAAGCCTGATACTGCAGATGAGGAAACTGATGCATAGAAAATGTTACACATTTCCAAGAGAGGAGCTGGAAACCTAAGTCTGTCCGATGTGACTACAGGCTCTTACCCACTAGGGTCTGCCACATTCATGTGCTACATCAAGAATGGGGACTCAAGGCTAATATTCCTGCCCACAACACAGCACCTCATTTTCTGAAGTATTGGAAGAGCCCCTAGAAACAAATCTGTTCCAGTATTCTTCATCTACAAGAGCAGAAACACATCCAGAGAAGTAATGTGACTTTCCTAAAACCACCCAGAGAGTCAATGTTCGAAAGGCCATGAAAGGCAATCAAGTGTCTCCAAACAGAACTCAGGAAAGGGCCATTCACGGCCTGGATCTTCCAAGGTACATGAAAAGAAAGAAAAACATAGCAATCAAATTTTTTCCTTGGAACCAAAAATGGGGGCTGGTGGGTAGAGAAGAATTCCTTTTCAAAAATCTATAAATATGATATTCAAGTGTGTCTAAATGCATTAAAGTTACAGTGGTTTTTTATAACCCTCACCATTCTTCCAGGGGTCCCCAACTGATGGCCCACAAGCTGAATCTAGGTGTGCTTTGGTTTCCTCTGCAGAGTTCTGGCAATAAATATCCAGGGCTGAGAAGGAGTGATCCTTTCTTAGTTGACACATGCATGCCCAGTCCACTACAGCCCCGAGCTGTCCCCCGTTTTTGTGTTACTGAACTTTAATTATCTGTGTGTCCTTGGCTAAGTCCCTTCCCCTCCCTGTAAGCCAGAATCTTCACCTGTCGAATTGGGATGGGGGTGTTGATGACATTGTATTTTGTTTATTGCCTGCCCCCTCTCCCTAGAAGGTAAGCTCTAGGAGGGCAGGGATTTTTGTCTGGTTTGTTCAGTGATGTCTCCCATAGCACCCCGAACCCTGCCTGCCATGTAACAGGTGCTAAATAAACATTTAAGGAGAGAATAAATAGTCCTAAACATCCAAAAAAAAAAAAAGAACTCAGGCAAAGGGGATGGAAAACTTTTAAGGCACAGTAACCATTCTATATCATGATGGTGATGGTTACACATTGTATATAATTACCAAAATCAATCAAACTGTTCATTTAGAATTGATACATTTTTATGTATGTAAATGATAACCTAAATAGACAAAGAAGATGAAGCTAATATACATATATAATTAAAATTAATTTCATCCACTTCCTGTTATTTTTTCCTGACCTTAGTAATTGCTGCCATCTGGGGGGTTTCTACATGTCAGGGACGTGCTGAATGCTTTACATTTCTCATCTCATTAATCCTTGGGTATGAGTGTAGTTTGTCTAAACCGCTCAGGTGCATTTCCTTAGTCTTTCTGGGTGACATATTCTGGAACTCCATGTTTATCACTGGCAGTAAAATCTTACTTAGGACTAACTAGGATTTCATTTTTAAGTGGATGAGTAGGCTGTGGTTCCACCTTCTTGCCCACTGCCTATGACTAGAAAGGTTACAGCATGCATTTATTAATTGCACCCAGGAAGCCAGTCATCCTCCCGATGACCTGTGAAATAGGTGTTATTATCATTCCCACTTCCCAGATGCTAAAGTCAGAATAGAGCCCTGATGTGCCACCAGCCAGAGTGACACAGCAGGAAGCAGCAGAGCGAAGATCTGATCCCAAGCAGTGGGAGCCCCTGAGGTTGTTTGCTTAATCCCCACACCGGATGGCCTCCCAACCAGTGACCCCGGGCACGCTGCTGAGCTGGTGTGTGGGGGCCAGGGTGTGACCCTTGCAGAGATGACAAAAGATGATTTTCCGATGCAGCGGGCATCTCCGGACCAGTGTGGCCTCAGACAGTGGTCAGAGCTGTGGTATGTTCCCCGCAACAGGCTGCTGGGGTGAGATGCGACGTGAGAGCCTAGGAATTCGCACCGCCACTGGGCAAAGGCCCATCTGCAGGACCCAAAAGGCCCTGAGCGTTGGGGAAGGGGCTGTTTGGCGTAAGCCTCACATAGCCCTTCTGATATTGAAGAAGTTTTTGAGGTGCGTTCACCTCCTTGGTCCCTGACATTGCTGTAGACTGGAGAGAACCTCCAGGAATTTCACTAGTGCTCCTCTGGCCAACCCAGGCATGTTGTTTCAGTCTCTTTTTCTTTATTTTTCTGTAGAGTTGAAGCCCTGATTGAAATGCAGACCAATCCCTCTGCAAGAGAAGAACGCAAGTTATCACATCTTAACTCCTTATGAAGGTAATTGGGACAAATTAAACATGTATTGACTTTCTCAAGATAACCTGAGATTTCTGCACCCTTTGCAGTTACCAGAAATAATACTACAGTGACTCAGTCTTCTGGTAATTGAAAATGCACAGCTGCAGAAGAAATTGCATGTTAATATGATATTATCAGTGCAGGAGGGCCACCATATACAAGAATGCAGAGACTCAATTAAATACCCATTATTCGGCTTAATAATTCAGAAAGATCAGGAAACATTATCCCTGGTCAAATAGGCTGAATTTAATTGACACCTTCCTGGGTTCACAGAGTATATCAACTCCGGATCAAACTAAAGCAATCTCATTTGACACAATGTAAAAGATTAATACAAGACAAAGAGGACAAATGACTGATCAGTCTGGGAATTACTGTTACTGAACCAGACTTGGGTCTGCTTACCCTACATGCAGTAAAGCCAATCTACTGACACCGGCTTGTGGTGAAGGAAAGTGCAGCATTTATTGCAGAGAACCAAGCAAGGAGTCCAGGCAGCTAGTGCTGCCTGAACCTACCCCCCAACCCACCCCCACCAAGGCTTTCAGAGAAAGGTTTTTAAAGATAGGGTGAGGGAGGGAGGGTTTGAGGTGTGTGATCCGCTCATGGACATTCTTCTGATTGGTTGGTGGTGAGGTAATTGGGAGTCAATGTCATCAACCTTCTGCTTCCAACCAGTCTGGGATCTAGGTGCTTGTGGACAGCATACAGTTAACTTCTTCCTCCTGGTGTTTTTTTCAGTATCTGCAAAACAGCTAAAGGACCTGGCTCAGAATATTATCTATAGCCCTTGAAAAGCAGCTAAATGTCCTTGACTTTGTTTAATGGCTAAAGTATTATTATTTTGTCTTGCTTGACTGTTTTCCTTTCTGCATTTTCTCACTTTTCTGATTAAATTTATTCTTTAACCAAAGTTTTTCTACAGACAAAAGGCAGACGGAGGACATATGGGTGGAGAGGTCTGTTCTGGGAAGGCCCCATAGGGTCCTGCTCTGTTACACTATGACTTATTTTGCTTTGAAGAGAAGATATGTACCTTTTAGTTACCATGTATGCTTTTCTTTTGTGGGATTTGATTAAAACATTCAGTTACTCAATAAATACTTCCTGAGCACTAGCTATGCACCAGGCACTCAGGTACTAGGGGTTCAGCTGCAAAATAAAGAGACAAAAATATGTGTCTTCATAGAGCCTAAACTCTAGTTGGTGGAGACAAGCAATCAATGAGTAAAATATATAGAATGACAGAAAACTTAAAGTGCTGTGAGGAAAAGTAAAGCATGGAAGCAAGATGGGGACTGCCAGGGCAGGGAACAGCAGACTGCAGTTATACATAGGATGGCAAAGAAAGGGTTGGATGAAGGGACAATAAAAATATAGTCATTAGAGCATCATTTGTGATAAAGATAAATGTTGGCAGCAACCTAGATATCTGTCTATAGGAGATTGGTTAAATATTTTATGATGCATCTATATAGTAGAATACTATATAGCAAACAAAAAAAGTCCTACAAGTACAAAATGAACTCCCAAGATATATGAAGTGATAAAAACAAGGTGCAGAATGATGTATAGCAGGGGTCCCCAACCCCCAGGCCACAAACCGGTACTGCTCTGTGGCTTGTTAGGAACCGGGGCGCACAGCAGGAGGTGAGAAGCCGGCGAGTGAGCAAAGCTTCATCTGTATTTACAGCCGGCCCCCTTCGGTCACATTACCACCTGAACTCCGCCTCCTGTCAGCATTATGGTGAGTTGTCTAATTATTTCATTATATATTACAATGTAATAATAAGAGAAATAAAGCACACAATAAATGCAATGTGTTTGAATCATCCCGAAACCATCCCCCCACCTTCCCCCGGTCCGTGGAAAAATTGTCTTCCACAAAACTGATCCCTGGTGCCAAAAAGTTGGGGACCACTGATATATAGAGTATGCTACCATTTACGTCTATCATATACATGATATATATATATATATATATATACACATAATATTTTTATAAATGCATGGAATCAGTGGAAACATACATAAAAAACTGTTAGTAATGGCTGTCTTTGGAGTGGAGAACAGGATGATTCATGGACAGGTGAGGGTGAAATACTTTGTATCCCATCACTATGTATATGTACTACTATATGGTCAGGCCATTCAAGATGGCTGTTCTCTTGCTCTGGGTCCATCGTCTGCTTGACCAAGCACTGCTTCATTCACATGACTACCCAAACCTCTTAATTATAGGGCTTAATTAGTCCCAGGAAACTGATGAGCCCATCTGACATAATTCCCCTATAAATGGTAGCTTTTTTCTCCCCCTGAGTAGCAGAGACTATTGCCGTGACCTGCCTGCTGTCGGCTGTACACAGTGGGGATGTCGCTCCAGGACTTTTTGCTTCAGACACGTAAGATCCCCTGTCCCATAAACTGTTGTTGTCTCTATCACTGTCTCCTGGTTCCTTCTTTGGTCTCAAGGCTGGACAACTACCAGGCTTTCGGGCCTGCAGGGTGCAGCCCAGCAACTGATGAGCCAGCCAGGAGGCCAAGGAAACTCTCGTGAGTGCAGAGATGTCAAGAAATGAGGACAGGGGATGGAAAATTGCAGATGTGATCCTGGGGTGGCCGCCCACTAGCCTGTGAGGCCCTGTGGCAGCTGTCTACCATGACAGATGTCTTTCTCTTCCATTAGAGTGACGATATCCTGTTAACCTCAGAGTCTCCTTGCACTTTAAAAGTAGCAGCCCCGCGCTGGTGGCTCATCTGACTGCACGGGGATGGCTGGTGAATGCAGACAGAACACAAGGACCTGGATTATCTACAAAATGGCAGCGTACCCCCAACCCACCCCCGCTCAACGACTACAGGCACAGGCTTTAGGGATGTTAACTGAGGGACAGGATCGGGAACTGGAGTGGCCAGTTACCCAGAGGGTCTGCTTGGGCCTGTGGCAACGGCGTCATCATAAGAGTGCCCTTGGGCTTCTCGTCCCACCTGAGGAAGGAGGCAGAGCCCTGACAGTGTGAAGGAACAGCAGCGACGTGTGTCTACAATGCCGCACAACAGGCGGAGGACGATACCAAAAGGCCCACCCGAGTCAGGGAGCAACGCGAAACGCCACTCTTCGGGGTCGAGAACAGCTGTGTGTGGGACCTACGGACCCACGGACGTCGATAGTGACCAAGGAACCCACATTACTGGCCGTGAAGTTCAGGAAAGGGCCGATGCAAATGAAACGTGCTGGCGTTTCCACATGCCTTCCAGCCCCACTGCTGCCAGGCTAATGCAGAGTGTGAGTGGGCCGCGTCAGCAGCAGGTGAGACGGGAAAGCCGCTCTCAACGTGTGGACACAGCCCAGGAGCAATGGGCCCAGTGCCCATGCCACGTGAACCCAGAGGCCGCTAGTCCACGTCAGCCGAGTTCAGCTGTTGACCACCGAGGGGTGTTGCCAACTATCGGTCAGGACGATAAGTCGCTTTCGCCCTGGCCACGGTGTCTACCCCCAGGGAACACATTATAAAACCGGCCCTGAGACTGGCAGGTAAGTCCCCGCGGGTTTGGGTTTGCTGCCTCGTGGGGAATAGGATTAGAAAGGGATTTACAGATCTCACCTGTCTCCTGCCCGGCCCCACCTAAGACCACTGAGGTAATGAATCCAGGCCCTGACTGAAGGAAGGCACCATCATATTAACCCCGTGGGCCTCTCCAGGATTCGGCACTGGCTGTAGGGACTGAGGGTGGAGGGGGGGATGGTACTGCCCCCCGGGACAGGAGCCACAGGCAGGGGTGGTACTATCTCAGGCTGCTGTTACTGCTTGTAGTTTGTTTAATGGTCATGATCTTCCCTGCACTGCGCCTGTTATGAACATCTTACATTTTGTCCCTGATCTGAGTGGAGGCAATCTGTTCACGAACTGGGCACAGTGGTGGCCTCACTGCAAAACGAGTCTGAGTGCTGGGTCGACAGCGAGAGGCCATTGTCATTCTCCTCTGGACTTTCATGAAAAACTGACCTTAGGAGCAGCGGGCTCCAAAGTCTGCCCACTTCTCGGACTCTCGATGCTCCGTAGCTGCTATTGCCTGAATCGCATTTGCGGTATTTGGTCGCAGCGCCCTCTCTGTACCTGACCCCAGGGGTATCACGGAAGAGAGGTGGGCCAAGAGTGCAAGGGTGGTGCGGGGTCTGTAGGGGTGGAGGGTATGGTCAGGCCACCCAACATGGCTGTTCTCTTGCTCTCCGTCCATCCCCTGCTCCACCAGGCCCTGCTTCACTCACATGACTCTCCAATCCTCTTAATTACTGGGCTTCATCAGTAACTGCCTGCATGCTTGCCCCCTGCCCCAGCCCCTGGTTTCCCTGGCAACTGATGAGCCCACCTGACATCAAGTCCCCCTCCCCCATAAATGATAGCCTCCTCCGCTGAGTAGCAAAGTCTGCTGTCATGTCCTGCCAGCCGTCTGCTGCACATAGTGGGATGTCACTCCAGGACTTTTTGCTTCAGATATGTAGGATCCCCTGTCCAATAAACCATTGATGTCCCTGTTGCTGTATCCAGCCTCTTTCTTCAGTTTGGAGGCTGGGCAACTACAAGGCTTGCAGACCTGTGGGGTGCAGCCCAATAACTACTTAGTCAGAATAAATAAGACGTAAACTAAGAACATGATGACTGTGCAATTAGAAAATGATGTAAAGACACGTGTTTATAAAACCTGGTGACCTAGATAGCCCTCTAGCCTAGATAGTGAATGAACGGGGTAGTTCATAGAAACATGGATTCACTTCTGATGAGCTGATGACCTTGTTGACAGTGACCCTTTCAAAGCAATTTTATTTTTTTAAATGGAGATCTCGGCCTTTTTTTAAAAAAAATAAATTTATTTATTTATTTTTAGCTGTGTTGGGTCTTGGTTGCTGCATGCGGGGTTTCTCCAGTTGCGGCACGCGGGGGCTGCTCTTGGTTGTGGTGCGTGGGCTTCTCATTGAGGTGGCTTCTCTTGCTGCGGAGCACGGGCTCTAGGCATGCGGGCTCAGTAGTTGTGGCTCGCGGGCTCCAGAACACAGGTTCAGTAGTTGTGGCACGCAGGCTTAGTTGCTCCACAGCATGTGGGATCTTCCTGGATCAGGGATCGAACCCGTGTCCCCTGCATTGGCCAGTGGATTCTTAACCACTGCGCCACCAGGCAGGTCCCCCAAATCTTATTTTGATTAATGGATTGTAGTTATTGTGATTGCAACGCTTAGATTTTTTTCACCTTTCTAATCAAATAGAAGCTGTATTCATTTACTAGGGCTGCCACAATGAAGCAGCACAAATAGAAATGTGTTGTCTTGCAGTTCGGGAGGCTAGAAGTCAAAAACCAAGGAGTCAGCAGGGCCATGCACCCCCTGAAGCCTGTACTTGGACATTCCTTGCCTCTTGCTAACTTCTAGTGGTTTGGGATTCCTAGGCTTGCAGTTGTGTAATCCTCACATGTATTGTTTTCTCCGTTTGTCTTAACTTTCAGTTTCATTTTGATTCTTTTTCCAGTAAGCAAAGCTCAGACTCCACACCCCACCCACTTCTCCTCTCGCGCCAACCATAAGCTGCTGCCTCGTTCACTCTGTGGCAGTCAGACTCTAACAGGACCATGGCCCTGATGCAGGCTCCAGGGGGCCCCAGCCCTGGGCAGACCTGCGCACTGATCCTGATCTTCACCGTGCTCCTGCAGGCCCTCTGTGTGGCCGTGACTTACGTGTACTTCACCAACGAGCTGAAGCAGGTCAGTACGATGCGCACGCTCTCTGAACAGAGGCTCTGGGCAACCCTCCGGTTAACTGCCTTTATTGGCTCCTCTGGGAAGACTTTACAGAGGAAGAGAATCCTCTCTTTCTCTGTCTGGGGACCCCAACTGCTAATGCATATCATTACTGAGGACTTTGCAAAAGCGAATTGAAGGGACTCTGTGCACAAAGTGCAGTTACAGAACTGGCTCCACCAGTTACGAGAAGATGCGGGCAACAAAACTCCTGAGGTAGTTTTGTCTTCAACAGAATGTTATAATATTAACAGCTGCCATTCACTGAGTGCTTTCTGCTTAATGCTTTATAGTTCTTGACTCAAATTCTTGGGAGTGAGAGGAACTGCATCAGGGCAGGACTGTATCTGCTTTTGCTTTCTGTGACACGTCTAGGTGCTAGCACAGAGCTCCCACATAGTAGGTGTTCACTAAACACCTGTTGAATGAATAACCAGCCTTCACCAATGTACTGCCAGGATACAGGGAGTAGGGTAGAGTTGAGGCTTAACCCAAAGCCAGGCTCTAAACCACTTGTAATAATGCTGTTTTGTGTTCCAAATGTGGCTAATTCCAGTGGATTTTGAATGCAAAATGACTGAAAATAAGCCAACCCCAGGTCTTGGCTTTCTGTGTACATATTTTTTTCATTTAATTTTTTTTATTGGCGCATAGTTGATTTACAGTGTTGTGTTCGGTTCCGCTGTATGGCAAAGTGAGTCAGTTACACATAGACATATATCCACTCTTTTTTTCTTTTTTAGGGTTTACAAATCTTTCTTTAATGACTCTTTAAAAATTAGCAAAACTGGTTCTACTCAAATAGAATGATATCCACTCTTAAAATTTTTTTTAATTTTTATTTTCTTTTAAAGATTTTTTTTGATGTGGACCATTTTTAATGTCTTTATTGAACTTGTTACAATATTGCTTCTGTTTTATGTTTTGGTTTTTTGGCCACAAGGCATGTGGGATCTTAGCTCCCTGACCAGGGATTGAACCCTCACCCCCTGCATTGGAAGGCAGAATCTTAACCAGTGGACTGCCAGGGAAGTCCCTATCCACTCTTTTAGATTTCTATTCCCATATAGGTGATTACAGAGTATAGAATAGCATTCCCTGTGCTATTCAGTAGGTTCTTATTAGTTATCTATTTTATATACAGTAGTGTGTATATGTCAATCCCAGTCTCCCAGTTTATCCCTCCCCCCCATTCCCCCCTGGGTTGTTTTCTACATCTGTGACTCAACTTCTGTTTTGTAAGTAGGTTCATTTGTACCATTTCTTTAGACTCTACATATAAGCAATATCATATGATATTTGTCTTTCTCTGTCTGACTTCACTCAGTAAGACAATCTCTAGGTCCATCCATGTCACTGCAAATGGCATTATTTTGTTATTTTTTATGGCTGAGTAATATTCCATTGTATACAGTACCACATCTTCTTTATCTATTCCTCCACCGATGGACATTTAGGTTGCTTGCATGTCCTGACTATTGTAAATAGTGCTGCAATGAACACTGGGATGCATGTATCCTTTCAAATTATTGTTTTCTCCAGATATATGCCCAGGAGTGGGATTGCTGGATCATATGGTAGCTTTATTTTCAATTTTTTAAGGAACATCCGTACTGTTCTCCATAGTGGCTGTATCAATTTTTTCTCACCAACAGTATAGGAGTTTCGGTGTATATTTTGACTAACTGTATATTGTATAGTAGGGAACTTCGAGCTGGAAGGAATTTTGGATACCCCTCATTGTATAAATGAGACTAGAAACTGCCAGAGAAATGACTTATCCGAGCTCAGGCAGAAATTTGGAAGCAGAGCTGGACCCAGCTCAGCTCATAGGGAATGCTTCTCCCATCACAGCAGGGTGTCAGCAGGGTTAACCTATCTCCCCCTTGTGCTGAACAGCACCCTGCTGCATGGTGAAACATCAGATCTGTCAGCTGGGCAGGAAATGCAAGGCTAAGGGTCTTGGACAAATATAAAATAGTGTTTATCTGTTAAGGAAATAAATGCAGTTTGCATATCCTGTGGAGTATAAACTTTGCTCTCAACTGGTTGGGAATTTCCTTTGGAAATGAAGTGAATAAAACAAGAGTCAACAAGTAATTATACAAATGATCACTACCATTAGATGGCCAGTAAAGTCAGCTTTGTTACAGGGCAATTTCAAAGAGCCTGTATTTGTAAGAAAAAAAAAATCAACGTGATTATAATCATGGCTTTTAGTTCTACGTCTGCCCGAGAGACTGGAATGCTGCTGTGTTTCCCAGTTTGGAGCCAGCATGTCCTAAGCTTTGTTAACTTTGCAGTATAAATAGTGAGTCTGTGTCTCCATATACAAGAGGTTCCCTCAATTTGCTAACGTTACAAGTTGGCCTCATTTTAAGACTGAAGCAACTCGTTATTTACTGATCTGAGTTATGCAATTGTCTGTGTACATGATCAAGTTTCTTTGAATTCTATAAAAATGAAAATTTCAAAGTTTAACATCTCCCCACTTGCACCCATTTTTCCTGATTGCATGTTTATATGTGTACACTTCTGTATAGACATGCAGAAGAATTTATTAAGAGTATCAGAAAGAAGAGAATTAAGAGATACTGAGCAAAAACTGTTCCAGAAACTTTCAAAATACTGCCCTATTTAATCCTCATAACAATTCTGTAAAGTAAATACAATTATCCCATTTTATAGATGAACAAACCAAGACTCAGGGAAGTTAGGTAAAATTTTGAACCCAGGCATTAAATAGGGGCTCAGTAAATGGTAACCATTGTAATCAGCATTGAGAAGTCTCTTGGAGTTGTCACCCTCTTCATCAGGAATTTATGCAAGGGAAAATGAATCTGAATCCTTTGGGTGACTGTGTAGAGTTTGGAAAAGCATATTCAACACAAGTATTAATTTTCTAAATCAGATCACAGGTTTCACTCTGGCAAGCAAAAATTTGCAGAAGATAACAGTGGGCAAGGATTATAGGGAGTGTGGGTTGAGCCGGGCTGAGGGATGTTGGATTGGACCCTCACAATTAAGCCTGTAGATCTGCGAGCATGAACAATAAATATGGGCTTAGCCTCTAAAGTCTATGACTCTGAGAAAGTTTTATGACAAGGGGACTACCTATTGCTGTGGCATTATAGACGGGGAAGACAAAGGAGAAGGAGACCCTAATCCACTGATGTCCATAAATGATCCTTTATGCTATTTGTGGTTTGCAGAAACTGATTGTCAGAGGCTAATGTCTGGGCAGCAGAGAGGGTCAGGGCTGCCACCTTGAAGTCTCTGAGCCAGCCAACCAGCAAAGGAGTCCACCCTGCTGACTTCAAGCCCTGCCAAGGACTGGTTGGCCCTGGCCTAGACAGTCCCACTGTTTGTGATGGCAACAGCAGCAGTTGAGTGGAATCCACTTCTCAGAACCAAGGGCAATAGCCATCTCTCTCCTTCTAGAGTTGTCCAGATAAAAACAGCACACTCATCCCCCTGCACCCAACACCCGGATGTGGTTAGCAAGAGAACAGCCCCAGCCTGAGAAGTGCTGTAGGAAATTCAACCTCAAAGTGTGAAAGGATGTGAAAATGAAAGGGGGAGAGAGACATCATATTAATCATCATTAATCATTCTTGGAATAACCATAGCACCACCTTGCCCATGTGTCAGTTACTTGTGTTGGCCTAGGTCTGTAGAAGAAACTGCTAAATATGAAACATGTGGGATGGGATGCAGAGTGGCTGGGGCTTTCTGTTGTTCAGAAGTCAATATGGGTTGGCCAAAAATTTCGTTCAGGGTTTGCTGTGGAAAACCCCGAACGAACTTTTTGGCCAACCCAATAGAAGCATAAAAATATCTAGAAGGAGAAATAAGTTGTGATCTTTAGAGGGTAGAATTATGGGTGCCTCTTTTTAATTTTTCTATATTTTATCAAATTTCTACAGCTAATGTTGTAAAAACATCTATGCTATCCATATGATTTTCATACAGATCTAAAGAGCATGCCATTTTTGTATAGTCTTAAGAGAAAACAACCATATACAAAATTGCCCACACCCAGTCTAATCTCAACCCTGTAAAAAAAGAGATCAGGGCTTCCCTGGTGGCGCAGTGGTTGAAAGTCCGCCTGCAGGGGACACGGGTTCGTGCCCCGGTCTGGGAAGATCCCACATGCCGCGGAGCGGCTGGGCCCGTGAGCCTTGGCCGCTGAGCCTGTGCATACAGAGCCTGTGCTCCGCAACGGGAGAGGCCACAACAGTGAGAGGCCCGCATACCGCAAAAAAAAAAAAAAAAAAAAAGAGAGATCATCCAAAGGTTAACTAGGAGGTGGAATGAGGGTGCATCGGAGGGTTTTATTTGTTGTACTTTTAGAAAAGTATTCTATAATTTTCTATATTTTCCAGGCTGCCTGTGTATCCTCAGCGTCTTTAGGCTTCATTCAATCTGGGTTAACACTGGAGTCTCACTAGCTTGTCAGACTCCCTCCCACGTCTAGTTAGGACCTTAGTTTTCAAGGTTCTCCCTCCCCACCTCCTGAAAGTGTTTCTGGAAAATCTCCAGAGGGTCTCCAGAGGCCAGCAGTTGGTCCTGACCTGGGCTGGCCCCTGCTCTCTTCCACTCTCTCAAACTCCACTTGACTTCACAGGGGCTGGCAGCTACCCTGACCGCCTGATCCCAGCACCTCTCAACTCTGCCCTGTCCTGTCCCCAGCCTCAGCCTCCAGGGCCTCAGCCCTTTCATGCTGAGACAGCTTCCAACTGCTGTGAAGTAAGATGACAAGTTGCTCCCTCCCTTCTGTGTCATGCACATTGTTTGGTCCCAACAGGTTACGAAAATCAGTTAAGCCTGTTTATTCAGTTTCATCAAGTCAACGCCTGGCCAAGGCACACCCAGTCCTGCTGGGCTGGGAAATGGCAAATCCAACTGTTCTTCCTGGAACTACCCTCAGGCCTCGTTGGTGAATCCAGCTCTTCTTCCCTGATCCTCCCCTCAGTTTGCTAGACAGGCTCTTCTATTTCTAAATTGAGTTCCTTCCTTGGAAAGGCTTTTTAAGCTCACATAAATTGCAGATGAAAATTAATGTCTACAGTAGAAGAACATGGAGGTGGGTAGGATCAAAGGAATGGTGTCTAATTTCATCGCCAGTCATAACTCAGGTGGTCCCAGCTGTCACCCCCACTACATCTACTAGGCGAATGTTTTACTCTTGGAATTTTAAAAAGGAAGAAAGAAAAGAAACATTTACCTAAAAGTAAATGAATGCTCTATTCCAGAGTGTGGGGAAGGAATTAATTATCTCAGGTTTGTCACTTTTATGCTTGAGAGACCTGATCAAACGTCCAGGGAGTACATGGCTGACAGTACAGACCTGCATGATTCTGGCTGAAAGCTCTCGTAAATATTTAAGTTATTTTGATTTGGAATGAGATCATCTTTCTATAGGAGGGAGCAGATCATCGTTAAGTTTGATCTTTCCTTCAAGCTTTGAAGTCCCCTAAGTTCAAATAACAGATGAAAATGGCTATTTTCCCATTTATTTCCCCAGAGAAAGGCAATTCAATGGACTTGTAGAGAGAAATAACATCTCCTGAATCCCAGTTGTTAAAAATGAAAACAGGAAAAAAAAAAAATCTGACCTTGCATGAACATCCTGTTTTTCTTCGTAAGATTAATCAGTTGTCATTCTAGAGTGCTCTGGGTGGTTTGGGGTGTGTGTGTGTGGGTGTGGGTGTGTGTGTGGGTGTGTGTGTAACATCAAGCACAGACTTTGTTGGCAAGGATCTAGCCATTGTAAATGTTTACCCTCAATCAGAAGAAGGGAGCAAACCTTCAAATGGTGTTTCGAGTCTCTGCAGGTAAATCCCTAGCTGGTGTGGACATTCAAACGTCTAGTGGTAACGTAGTCTGGCTTCTGCCGTCCAGAGGAGTAGAAATCACAACAATAACTAGAATCTACTAAGACAATCAAAGCTCAGATGAAGAAACAGAACATTACCTGCACCCTAAAGGCTTTGGCTAATTTTTTATTTAGGATCCTGGAATGTAAACAAACTCCACTGCCTACTTTGTACCTGGTGGGTTTCTAGCTGTAGGATGGGAGTCACGCTATGTCAGAGCTGGAAGGAACCTCAAAGATCACCACAGTGAGCCAGCTCAAATGCAGATGAAGAAGAGATGTCGAAGAGTAGAAGCAATTTGTTGAGGGACATACGACTGCTCAAGGGCAGGGGCAGCAAAGGGCATTGTGACCCTGGATGCCTGGCCCACACCTGTTTCCCTTCCACCACATCGAACTGCTTACCTTTATTCAAAGGACAAAGGACTGCATGCTTACTTTTACTTCAGGCAATGAGCTTTTCCAAGGTGCTAAGACTTCTCTGAACCCGTCATCAGCTTCTGTTGTTTTAACTTGTAAATGAACAAAAAGAAAAAGCACTTGTGCATAATATTGTGTTATATTCATCTCAACCCAGATGCAGGACAAGTACTCCAAAAGTGGCATAGCTTGCTTCTTAAAGGACGATGACAGTTCTTGGGATGCCAGTGATGACGAGAGTATGATCAACCCCTGCTGGCATGTGAAGTGGCAACTCCGTCAATTTGTTAGAAAGGTAAGTGAACCACGGGGTCGCTTTACCAGCAGGCATAGAAGGTCAGAGGAGAAGGACTATTTTAGATAAAGTCTAGAGTCCTTATTTTGTAAGGGAGGAAATGGGGGCCCAGAGTGTTTAAGTGATTGTCCCCAAATTCACTGAACTAGGAAAAGATGGGACAGCACCAAACAGTGGGTCCTGATCAACTCGTGGTCTAGAGTTTATTCCTCTCCTCCAGAGACCTCCTTCATCTAGTCTAAACTTTTTATCTCACCTTGTGGAAACTGAGGCACGGACAGAGCAATGTGTTCAAGGTCACACGACGATAAAGGACATGTGTGATTTCTTTTTTTATTCAGAAGACAAAAGAAACCAAACAATGGTGTTTTATATTCTTCCCACATTGTTGTTCTCTGTTATTTTTGTTTTTTCTCTTCTTTTTTTTTTTTTTTTTTTACAAACCCTTGTGTCGCCACATTGTTGTTCTCTGGAATTAAGTCTATTTATTTTTGTGCATATAGAGATGAAGAAAGAGGAAAGGAAGAGGGAAGAAAGAGATACTTTGAGAAATTGAAGGTGATGACATCTCAATTTACAGTTAATAAATGACACATTACGAAATATTATTTTCTGTTTGTGAAAGTTGCTTAAATAGGCTCTCCAGCAGAAACTTTGTTAGCTAACAGTTTATTTCACTAAATATGATTACTTAATTATACTTTCAGTGACAGGACATGTCAAATATAGTTTCTTCTCTCAGGCTGCTTCCTTATTTGTAAGATGGCATTAATAACATTTACCTTCTGCGTATCCGGAAAGGCCAGCTGTGAACACAAACATGAAAACTGTAAACTTCATTGTTTAAAAAAATTACTGGGGACGTTCCCAGGGTAGGAGGAGGATGTGTTTTAAAGAAATGATTGTAAGTCTATTGTCTGGTACTCAGTGTGCCCTTCCATAGAAACAGTGTTGTGTCGGTGGTTAGGTCCTGATTTATAACCCTAAGCAGTCCTCGCAGTAAAGCCCAGCATCACCTGTGATGCTATTCCTATGAGAAATGAAATCAGACTTCCAGCTGGTTGTCCTAGAAACACATCTGCTCCACGGCTGCCCTGGAATCGTGGGCAGGATACCTGCTGCGCACAAGCTGTCCTGGAGCAGCTGGGACTCCACTGCCCCAGGTGAAAAACACCAGGAAAGACCCAGGGTTGGGGAAGTGTCCTGAGGAACCTGAGGAACGGGTCTCCACGGTTCCTAGGACTAGAGGGAGGATGGCGAACCCACTGGTGGCAGAGGAGAGAAACTCAGAACTAGAGTAGAAATCTGGAGACCGAGGAGGGGGCTGGATGCTGGGCCTGGGAGTGGGGAGATGAGAGAAGCCGTGTGGGTGGGTTTTACAGGTCTCTTTCCTGCTCTTCCCCCGTCCCTCCCATTCTCACATCCTGCCACTGACTAGAGAAGAGAGGGCGCACAGCGGTGGATGAGAGTGTAGGAGGGGAAAAGAGTTCCCCATTTTTCCAGGCACTGTGAAGTGAACAGACAATTTCCCATAAACATCCTATGCCCATTAGGTGTATTATCTCCCTTAATCCTCAAACAGCTCTGTGAGGAAGGAATCATTATTATCTTCTTTTTTTAAACAAATAGATGAAGAAATTAAAGTAGTTCATATCAGTTAAGTAACTTGAGTAAAGTTTCCCAGGGCTGCTAATGAACAGGTTTGAATCCAGTCCATCTGATTGTACTACAATCTTTTTTTTTTTTTCTTGGTGGCACTGTGTTAAGGACCACACTGTAGGAATTACCCTTTTCCCTTTCCTCCTCCTCCTATTTCCTTCCTTCCTTCCTTTCTGGCCCAGAGTGAGAGTGAGAGAGCTAACGTGCTGAGGCCACCCCTTGCTTCCCTTCCCACACGCCAGTGTCCGTTGCCCTACAGGCAGCCCCCCATTATCTGGGGTCAGAGCTTTCGACAGAGGAAAAAGAAGAGAGCTTCTGATTTGGAGCAGGAGTGCAGAGGAAGGGAGTTTCTGACGGTTGTATAATTAACAACAGTGACGGGAAAGGTGGGCAATGATGGGCAAAACCCCCAGAGGTGACAGAACTGAGTGGAGAGGTATTTAAAGTCATGGATGAGTCACGTCAGGGTCGGCTCATTTAACAGAAATGCTAGATTTCGTTCTTTATTACTGGTTTTCCCCACTGGTTAGCACAAAGAAAGTGATATGAAGTGTTTAGTAAGATATGGGAATTTGGTAAAATATCTTTATGTTGAGAATGTCTCAGCCACATTCTCAGAAATGAGAGAGTGACATGGTGCTACCAGGTCACCGCTGGACGGGCTGTGCGTGTCTGTGGGCACCATGAGAGAGAGGGAGTGTGCCTTACACCTTGAGTCTTGGGGATATCCGATAATTTAAAGCTCCTGGACTCTGACACAGTGCCTTTATACACGTATGCATGCAGCTACACACACAATGCACTATACACACACATACATGCAGACACACAGACAATGCACTTATACACACGCGTGCATGCAGACACACACACTCAGAAAGTGCGGTGACATGGCTACCGCATCCGTCAGCCAGAAGGAGACCTGGAGAACATTAGGCTGACCTAACTTGGAGAAGGATAACTCCTTGCTCCTGTGCTGCTCCAGGTGTGGCCTTTCAAAGACTTCATCCAGAAACAGAAGTCTCCCAGACAGAGGACCATCCTTCCATCCGCAGTAGGGACAGCTGCCTCCATATTCATCCCAGCTCCCACTCTGCCCCACACACTCTATGCTTAGACAACTTAAAGCTGCCTAGGTTGATATCTTAGGTGGAAATTTTCTGTTAGACATCAGCAAGAAGAGCCACAGACATTCTATAGTCAGTCTAAATGCTTAGGGAAATTAACAAGCTTTATTCAATACTATTTGCAGATCATTTTGAGAACCTATGAGGAAACCATTCCTTCAATTCCAGGTAGTATTCTTTTTGTTGTTATTTTAATTTTCTACTGTCAGCCTTGTGATAGTTGAATAGCTCTCCATCCTCTTTCTCTCTGCTCCCATCCACACATCCCACCTCTGACCACTGCTCAGTGTCTCAAGCTGCTTATTCTATTTCCCTCTTTGCATTGGCAGCTAGAAAGCTCAGAAGCAAATCTGTGACCCACCTATGGTCTGAACTTCATTTCATCTGAATTTTATTCTTCCAATGTGGATTTTCCTTTCACCTCAACTTCTTCGATTATTTATTTTTACCTTCTAGTGTGGGTAGCTTTCTGGAGCATAGCTGGAAAAAAAGGGCTCCAAAGTTACCCATCTTCTCTGCTTCAGACCGCCCCTAGGCTCGAAGCCTTTCTTTATGCAAAAGCCTCTTGCTCCGTCATCTCTTTCCCAGCAATCCTTCTACGCCCCCGAAATCCTCATCCTGTAGTCCTCACACCTTGGCTATCTCCACTGATGGTCACCAGCCTGCTCTTGACCCACAACGCCCTTCATTGTTATTGCCCAGGCCGGCTTCTCTAGTCCTGCCACTGGCTTCTTCCATTCCTGGATTTTCACGTAAACACCTCCTTCTCATCCTCCATCCTCATCACCTACTCATCACCTCTCAGAGAGAAGTTCCCTGACCAACTTTCTAAGTAAGTTCACCCACATCCTATTTTTTCTATCACACTTACCTTGTTCATTTCCTTTGATTGATATATATATAAATCAAAGGAAAATATATAAATATTCTGTTTGTTCTGTCTGATTCCCTACTAGATTAAAGATCCACAAAGACAGAAAACATGCCTCTTTCTCTTACCTCTCTATTCCTAGACTTAACTGTACACCTCAAGCCTAGTAGATTCTCTCTTATCCCCCTGGTCCTTACCTGCACCACCTTTGGTGTGTGTGTTCATGTGCATGTGTGTGTGTGTATTTTGACTGAGATGAAATTCACATAACATACAACTAGCCATTTTGAAGTGCACGATTTGGTGGCCTTTAGTACATTCACATTGTTGTGCCACCATCCCTCTCTACACAGAAAGTTCTTAATACATATTTTTAAAATCAATACATAAGTAAATACAACTGATGAATTAAATTTACTGCTGCTTTGCATTTGGCTCACCATAGCCCCATTTTCCCCTGTTAATAATCATACCAGCCTGCATACGTGTACCAGAGACTTACAGTCCTGGGGTACACCAGCCTGGCAGAGAAGAATCAATTTTTTAATAAATATTTTATTAATGATGTCTTCCTAATTTTCAGCTGTCCTTTTCCATTACAATAAGCTTCCTCATCACTTGACAATACCCACCATCCTTTACTAAATGGGCTTTATTAAATACGATGGCAAGACCTGGTCCCAGGGTCTAAGCATTCTTTCTGGTCATTTCCCTGAAGGCAAAAACAGTATTAGGAATGTTGAACACTACTTCTCTTCTAATGAGGAACACCAGATCCATGGTCTACAGTAGATGCATGTACTATTTTCAGTGTTGGAAGAAAAATACTCTTTTTTATTCATCCCAGTGGGGCATAGAAATCATATACTCCTCAGTATACCAAGATGTATCCATGACACCCAAATATACATATTCACAGACTTCTTTTCCAGGAGCTGTTTGCTATAGCCAGTAGGAAATGTCCTCTCTTCAGAATTTGCTTTTAAAGCTAGGCTTTCCCATATACTTGCAATGATCTCAAATGCAAGATATTTGTAACTGGATTCCATTACTGAATATTTTAAAATAAAGTGTTATGGTCTAGGGGCAGTCAAGGCATTATGAATTATTTATCAATGGTGGTTAAAAGTAAACCTTGAAAGCTGAGCTTTCTGAGAGTAACATGTACTTCCGAACTGTGTTTGGTTTTCAGTATCCTGCACACACCAACCTACCCTGAATAAGTAACAACACCAGATAGATGGAGAGATGCGTTAGCATTCCTTCCTTGCCTATGAAATTTTATCACCTCCTTTCAGTTTCTTCTACTACTAGCCTAGATTAAATCTTCCTGTTCTCAGACCTGATCAATTACAGCTGTCTGCTAACTCGCCAATCTCCAGCCCTCTCACTTTCTACCCATCAAACCTTACTATGAGGTAGTTTAGCCTAAAGCACAACACATATCTTTTTGCTTCCCTGATCAAAACCTTCCAGAGTCTTCCCATGTCTGTAAAAATTCAAATCTCTTAGTCTAACATTCAAATCCTCTATAGTTTAAATCCTCATTCAAGCCTGAAACTGAACTCATCTGATGCCTGTGTCCCAGGAATGCTTTGTGCATCCTGCCTTGGGGACACTATTCTAGATCTCTGGGAATGCCCTTTTCCCATTGCTGTGGGTCCCAAGCCTCCCCAGCCCCACCCATTTCAGAGAATTGTCCTGCCCCTCAAATGCTTTCTTGCATTCCTTTGTTTATAGTTCTTTCTCCATCTTCCTAGAAGAGTGTCAGGTATAGATGTGATGGGCACTTTGGTTTGCTGAAGTACGTGAATGAAAGGGCCTTAGTCCAAACCCCCTCCCCTGACCTCAGCTCTCCAACAAATAGGAATTTTTCCCTCCCCTGAACACCCATCACCCTTCATTTCTATTTCTTATAGGTTAATTTTCACTTTCTAATTTGTGTCTTCCCTAAAAACTGTAAGTCCCTTGAGGGCTCAGTCAGTGTAATTAGTGATTAATCTTTGAAGTCCCTGCGGAGCACTGCCTTGTCCCTGGACGTATTTGCTTGATGAAGATGTATAGTTTATCTCAACAACCACTGTAAACATCCTGGGAAGTTTGAGCTGATTTCTTTAAAGAGTAGTTTGCTGAATTTTTAGTCTTTCAGTCTGCTCCAAAGTACTTCGGATGGTGGTCAATAAATGTTATTTATTTGTTATGATCTAGTGAATCAGTGATTTTTATGCTCATATACTGGTTATCATGACAATTATGTCATTTCATATTCCCTTTGGGAGGTGAGGGAAATGACTGTTGGATACCAGTTTGTAGCATCTCTGGACAATTGTTATCACTGCTACTCCTTTAGAGTAGGTAGTATCTAGCAGGAGGAAAAAATAATTGAGATGATAAAAATTGGTATCACTCTGTTTCTATATATAACTGAAAGTGGAAATTTGCCATTAGTTCATTTTAAATGCCTTAGCAGGAATATTATAAGTCCACAGTTTTGTTGTTATTATTGTAGTTTAGGAAAAGTGTCCGAATCTTCACTTTGTTATATTCTAGTTGAACCTTACCCCTGAGATGCCGATAAATTTTAGCCCGAGTTACTGCTTATCCTTCCCATCTAAAGTACTTTTCAAATTCAACATAGGCTGAAGTGGACTGATTATAATACTAAAATGTAAATTGGTTTTATGAAAACCCATATAGTCAACTTTGGGAGCCCAGTGTGCTTACAATGATAAGATTGATAAGAGCTGTGAACAGCAATGTATCTGAGACATGTTTGACAAGTGCTGATGATTCTTTGTCATTTCTCTTTTAGAAAAGCAACAAAATATTCTTCACCTAGAAAGAGAAAAAGGTCCTCAGAGGGTAGCTGCTCACATAACTGGGACCAATCGGAAAAGCACATTCTCAGTTCTAAGTAAGAGAAACAATGAATATATGGTTTAAAAGAAGGGAATGGAAGAATTTGTTCCAAATAATTTATTCTTTGAACTTGTATCGGAAATGTTTATATGGCTATCTACAAAATGCTCAGTAGTAATCAAGTCTCAGATTGACTCTTTTCAGAAGCAAGATTACAAGATGAATAGCTTAGTTACTGCCCTGGCATAACTGGCTTCTGGAAAATTCTGAAGTGGAAGTGGGAGAACTTTGAGTTTCCCATGCCCCCATCTTTGCTTTTCTTCTTCTTTTTTTTTTAAAGTAATTTTTCTCTCTTTCATCAAATCTTTCTCCACTTCAAAGGTTCTAAATCAGTCATCTACTTTCCCCATGAGTCACCAAGGCCTCCCAGCGGCATTTGTATTAGGTTGAACTATAAAAAGTTGGCCAATATTTGACCACTTTGCATTTACAGAAATGTCAGTTTCATATGGTTTAACCAAATAGGTTAAGCCTAATTATTAGCTGTAGAACAGGTGTCCATATACTGCTGTGGTTAGTGCATGGGTCTTGTAATCTAAATACCCACATTGGAATCCCAGCTACTCCTTACCTAGTTCTTTGTTTTGAGCAAATTACTTAACACAATCAAGCTTCATCTTCTTCATATACAAAGTAGAGATAATCTTTAACTCATAAAAGAGTGAAGATTAATGCAAAATGCTGTTGCACTGTAAGTACTCAATAAGTAGTGCTTTTATTTTTGTAAAAAGTTTTGTCCCAGGTTAAAGAAATTTCAGTCATCAGTTAATGAATGAAATGTTGTTGGGGGTTTTTGTTGGTTGGTTGGTTTTTGTTTCTTTTTTCTGGGCAGTTGCCTTCATGGTATTCCTGAACTCATGTTTTGTAAATCATTGACATGTTCTGCCTATGAGTAAGATCATTATTTCACTATTCCTGTTTACTATTCATCAATTAATATGATAGTTGTTTTCAACTCTTGAAAAACTCAATTTTGCGTCAATCATGGAGATGACCCCAAAGTTTAAAAGAGTATCATATCTTAGTAAGGCCCATCTTCATTCAAAGTCTTTGGGATCTGAAGATCTTTAAATCTGGGCTCTTTTTGCCAAACCTTGTACCCTGTCTTATTGGACAGTCATTTCTAGCCTTCTGCTTGGATGGTGCTTTTGACACTGGGTTAAATTAAGACCAAGGAGGAATCCAAAAAGAGCTAAAAGAATAGCAGGAATTTATGAGCTCTAGACTTGAGGAAATAGATATGTTTCTTTTGGTTTCCTTCTACATCGTTGATCTGAGCTCACCAGCACAGGAAAGGAGGCAGGGGTTCTGGACAGAAATTCTTTGCAGGAGTAAAGATTGCCATCTTAGTGAACCATTCCCGTGCTACTATTCAAAGTAGATGAGGTACAAAAAAGTATGGGACTTCCAACAGATCACAGTGATATGGGAGCCTCCAGATTTCTATATGACTAGAATTTAGAATCCTTGGAAGATCGAAGGAGCAAGAAGTTTTATAATAGATTAAAATTCTTTACAATCCCAACCGAGAATTGGCTAGCCACAGCTATTGGGAAACTTCTTGTTTTGCTACAAGCTAACTTTATTTTTCTCTAAACTTCATCCCAGGCTCCAAGAATCAAAAAGCTTTGGGCCAGAAAATAAATTCCTGGGAGTCGTCAAGAAAAGGACATTCATTCTTGAATAATTTGCACTTGAGGAATGGAGAGCTGGTTATCCACCAAACAGGGTTTTATTACATCTATTCCCAAACATACTTTCGATTTCAGGAAACTGAGGAGGTTTTGGGAACAGTTTCAACAGAAGAGAACAGAAAGAAAAACAAACAAATGGTACAATATATTTACAAATGCACGAGCTATCCTGACCCCATACTGCTGATGAAAAGTGCTAGAAATAGTTGTTGGTCTAAAGATTCAGAATATGGACTCTATTCCATCTATCAAGGTGGAATATTTGAGCTCAAGGAAAATGATCGAATTTTTGTCTCTGTCACTAATGAGCAATTGATTGACATGGACCAAGAAGCCAGTTTTTTCGGGGCCTTTTTAATTGGCTAAATGATCTGCAAAGAAAAAACAGTGCCCCCAGAGAGACCTTTCACTTTTCAGAGTGATACACTGTGAAAAGACTGCAAAAGAGCTGACAAAATAGGGCAGCCTGAGCAGAGCAGCCTCAATCACGAGACTCTACAACACAAGCTTTTTTGGTATCTCTGAAAAGTGACCAACGTACTCCAAGACAGAGAAACTGACAAAAGACCTTCTGAGACTCTACCTGATATCAGCTTGCTAGCAGAAATCTAGAAGGTTCTCAGTTTACAAACATTTGCGTAGCAATTAACGTCTTCCGCCTTAACCGTCTACTCTTGCGAAGATACCAGAAGACTGAAAGTTCACGGTCAGGGTATGCAGTGTGCCAGGGGAGTTGGTGCAGTGTGGGGCCTTGTGGGAGTTGTCCTGTACCCTCGTACTCTTGGAAGTAAAAAAATTCCATTCGAAATCGTATCATTTCACTAAACAAATTAAAGTTATGTTTAGTGAACAAGGAACTATTTTCAGTTGGCCAAAAAGTTCGTTCGGGTTTTATGTAATCATATGTAAAAATCCGAACGAACTTTTTGGCCAACCCGATATTTCTGAATGGCTTGTGCTTTTCATTCCCAGAAGTCAGGCTGACCGAAAGCACTGAAGGTATTTTTGATACAAGACTCTAAAATGAATGATAAGCTAATCAGAAATCGGGAATTTGGCCCCTTGTGAGCAGGAGAACTGGGAAAGTGGGGAAAAAAAAAAAAGAACTGTTTGATAGTGTAACTTAAGGATGGGCAAGAATTAATTATGACTTTATATTTTTATACTAAAATTTAAAAATACATGTTTCTTTTTCAATAAAAATGACGTTAAAATATGTAGTTTTTGTGTATCTCATACTTATGTTTTATAGTAACAAGATTACTAATGATGGGGAAAAGGAATTCTAATCTCTTTTTCATGGTATTGTTTATCTGACATGTGTTACTGAAGAAAGAAAGAAACTACTCACTTTTTATATAATGTGATTAAAATATATCAGTCCTTTCCTTTATAGTTAATGCTTTTGTTATAGGTTGAATTGTGTCCCCACAAAAGGTATGTAGAAGTCCTCCTCCCCAGTACCACAGAATGTGACCTTATTTGGAAAGAAGTTGGTTGCAGATATAATTAGTAAAGATGAGGTCATAGTGGAATAGACTGGGTCCTTAATATTGTATAATGTGACTGGTGTCCTCATTATTTAAAGAAGGAAATTTGGAAACAGGAACAGGGACACACAGGGAAAACTCCATGTGGCAACAGAGGCAGAGATTGGAGTGAGGGAGTTGCAAGCAAGGAGCTCCAAGGATTGACGGCCATCATCAGAAGTTCAGAAGACAAGAAAATATTCTACCCATAGCCTCAGAAATCTACCGACACCTTGATTTTGGACTCCTGGCCTCAAGAACCATGAGAGAATAAATTTCTGTTGTTGAAAGCCACCCAGTCTGTGGCACTTTGGTTCAGCAGCCCGAGGAAGCTAATACAGCTTTGTACACTATGTTCAAGAGATCTATTTTTACCGATGCGCACAGATACCACCATCTATATTTTTTTCTGAAATCTTTAAATTTGGCCTTTCATAGTTTGATAGTGGGATTCAACTGTAATTTAATTCATGTGTGATGAGCTAGGGATGGAATTTTATCTTTTACCATATCAGGGACCAGTTGTCCAGCACTGTTCATTGGCTAGTCCACTCTTTCCCCACTGATTTTAACGTTTAATATCATATACCAACATTCCAGGGGGTCTGTTTCTGTGCTCACTTTCTTTTCCTATTGGCCTGGTTGTCCATCCTTGCACCCATACCATCCATTTTTAAAAACTGTGATAAAATATAAATAACATAAGATTTACCATTTAACCATTTCTGAGTGTACAGTTCAGTGGCATTAAGTACATTCACACTCTTGTGCAACCATCACCCCTATTCATGTCCAGAGCATTTCATTATCCCAAACTAAAACTTTATAACCATTAAACAATAATTCCTCATTTTCCCTTCCTCCCGCCCCTGGTAATCACCATATTACTTTCTTTATGAATTTGACTGTCCTATGTACCTCATGTAAATAGAATTATGCAATATCTGTTCTTTTATGTCTGGCTTATTTGACTTAGCATAATGTCTTCAAGGTTCAATCCATGTTGAAGTATGTATCAGAATTTCATTTCTTTTTTTTAATTTTTTTAATTTAAGTATAGTTAATTTACAATGTTATGTTAATTTCTGCAGTTCATTTCTTTTTAAGTCTGAATAATATTGCATTGTTGGAAAATACATACCACATCCTGTTTATTCATTTATCTGTTGATCATACTCTGGCTTTAGTGGTTGCTATTTGCTTTTCTATAAATCTTGATGTCTTGTATGTATGTTCTCCTTCTTTAGTCCTCTGTTTCAAAATAGCATGGGCATTTTGGTTTTTAACTCACAAACTTTGTGCAACATAAGTATCTTTCATTATGACGTTTTCAGGCAAAGTTTAGAAGGAAAAAAGTTACATCTGGCAGTTTAAATAAATATTCTGGGAAAAGCCTCAAATTACATTCCAAATACAGTTGATACAGTGTCAGAACTACATGTAAACTTTTTTTTAATATAAATTTATTTTGTTTATTTATTTTTGGCTGCGTTGGGTCTTCGTTGCTGTACGCAGGCTTTCTCTAGTTGCGCCAAGCAGGGACTACTCTTCATTGTGGTGCGTGGGATTCTCATTGCAGTGGCTTCTCTTGTTGTGGAGCATGGGCTCTAGGCGCACGGACTTCAGTAGTTGTGGCACGCAGGCTCAGTAGTTGTGGCTCGCGAGCTCTAGAGCACAGGTTCAGTAATTGTGGCGCATGGGCTTAGTTGCTCTGCGGCATGTGGGATCTTCCCGGACCAGGGCTTGAACCTGTGTCCCCTGCATTAGCAGGCGGATTCTTAACCACGGCGCCACCAGGGAAGTCCCTACATGTAAGCTTTTTGAACAGTCTGAATAATGACTATTGCCACCCAGAAGGAAAACAGCCCATTTGAACTAACAGGGAAGGAGATAGGAAGGAATGAAGGAAAGCAGTCAGACTTCTTAGACTTTATAGGACGGGCTCATAGAGCTATTGAGCTATGGATATGTGATATTCTTTAAGACAAGGGAGGAAGGACCCCAAAGACGATTTAGAGCTCATTAAGCCTTCTTCCTTGGTATCAAAAGGTGGGAATCTATCACTTCAGTTTTAACAGACCAATTCTTGCCCATTGCTGTGTGAGTGGTGCCACCCAAAGCCATGGGAGCAATGCTACCAAAGCTATGGAGGCCAGACCCCTGCCCAGCAGAGCCCTTGGGCAAGGCTGCCTCTGCCTAGCTGTCAAAGAATGGAGCTGTCTAGAGCTGTGGGCATCCAGCCTAGGCAGAAGACCACAGAGTGGATGAGGTTACTGCAGAGAGCCCCTGCCAGGGAAATGCCCAATGGAGCCATGAGGGTGTGGCTGCTCCCATGACCCCAAATCAGTAGAGCCACTGGTATGCAATTCCAGACAGGGAGAGCTGCAAGCATGCAAATCAAGGCAGTGAGAATTGCTCCCTGGACGGCCCCCAGCAAAGCTGTGGGGCAGGGATGCCGCAGTGTGCACGAGAGGTCATTCCCATATCCCAGGGGCTCTGGCACGCAGAGTATAAGGTGAAAGATTATTCTCAAGCCTTAAGATTTGATGTTTGCCTCGTTGGGTTTGGACCTGCTTGGGCCCTGCCACCCCCTTCTTTCCTATTTCTCCATTTAGGACTGGGAGAGTTTACCCTATTGCCTGTCCTGCCATTGTATTTTGGAAGCACATAACTTGTTTCATTTCATGGGTTCATAGCTGGAGAGCAATTTACCTCAGAATGAATCGTACCTTGAGTCTCATGCACATCTGATTCAGGGGATATGTATATGAGACTTTAAACTTGGACTTTTGAGTTAATGTTAGAAGACATTAAGACTTTGGGGACTGTAGAGATGGAATGAGCATATTTTGTAAGCAAAATGGACATGAATTGGGGGGGAGCCAGAGACATAATGCTGTGGTCTGAATGTTTATTTCCCTCCAAGATTCATATGTTGAAATCCTAATGCCTTATGTGATGGTATTAGAGCTGGGGCTTTTGGAAAGTGATTAGGTCATGATGGGTCCACCCTCATGAATGAAATTAATGTCCTTATATAAAAAAAAGCCTGAGATAAGTACCTTATCCCTTCTGTCATGTGAGGATACAACGAGAAGTCTGTCACCCAGAAGAGGGTCCCCACATGACCATGCTGGCTCCCTGATCTTAACTTCTAGCCTCCAGAACTGTGAGAAATTAATTTCTTTTGTTTATAAACCACCCAATCTGTGGCACTTTGTTATAAGAGACAAGATGGACTAAGACATTCTCCAGTCAGAAAACAAAAAGTGGTTGAATGAATTAAAAAATAAAATCCAGCAATATGCTCTCTACAAGGGACTCACTTTAGATTTAAAGATATACGTAGGCTGAAAGTGAAGGAATGGAAAAAGATATCCTATGCAAATGGTGACCAAAAACAGCAGGGTTGGCTACACTTATATTAGGCAAAATAGACTTTAAGTCAAAAACTGTCTCTATAGACAAAGAAGGTCATTATATAATGATAGAAGGTCAATTTAACAAGAAGATATAGCAATTATATGTACATATCCAACATCAGAACACCTAAATGTATAAAGCAAATACCAAGAGATCTGAAGGGGGAAATTGACAACAATACAATAATAGTAGAGACTTCAATATCCCACTTACAATAATGGACAGAACACCTAGACAGAAAATCAATAAAGAAACAACTGACTGTTTTTTGACAAAACACTGATGAAGGAAATTGAAGATGATACAAAGAAATGGAAAGTTGTCCCATGTTCTTGGATTGGAGAATTAATATTGATAAAAGGTCCATACTACCCAAAGCAATCTACAGATTTAACGCAATCCCTATCAAAATACCCATGACATTTTTCACAGAACTAGAATAATCCTAAAATGTAAATGTCCATAAAAGACCCCAAATTGCCAAAAAGATCTTGAGAAAAAGAAGAAAGCTGTCAGTATCACACTCCTGACTTTAGACTATACTACCAAGCCACAGTAATCAAAACAGTATGGTACTGGCACAAAAGCAGAAACATAGATCGATGGAACAGAATAGAGAGCCCAGAAAAAAACCCACACATCTATGGGCAATTAATATATAATAAAGGAGGCAAGAATATATAATGGAGAAAAGACAGTCTCTTCAATAAAGGGTGCTGGGAAAATTGGACATCTACATATAAAAGAACAAAATTAGAGTATTTCCTCATACCATATACAAAAATAAACTCAAAATGGATTAAAGACCTAAATGTAAGACCTGAAACCATAAGACTCCTAGAAGAGAGTGTAGGCAGAACACTCTTTGACATAAATCACAGCAATATTTTTTTTGTTATGTCTCCTAAGGCAAAGAAACAAAGGCAAAAATAAACAAATGGAACCTAATTCAATTTAAAAGCTTTTGCACAGCAAAGGAAACCATGATGAAACGAAAAGACAGCCTATTGAATGGGAGAAAATATTTGCAAATGATATGACCAAAAAGGGGTTAATATCCAAAATTATATAAACAACTCATACAACTCAATATTTTAAAAAAACCAAACAACCTGGTTAAAAATGGGCAGAAGACCTGAATAGATGTTTTTCCAAAGAAGATATACAGATGGCCAACAGGTACATGAAAAAACGTTCAACATTGCTAATCATCAGAGATATGCAAATCAAAACCACAATGAGATAGCACCTCACACCTGTCAATGCTT